CGCTTCCCTGCGGCGCCGTCGCGGCCCAGGGCGGCCTCCGCGCGCGAGCAGGCGGCGCGCCTCTTCCAGGACATCAGCCCCTTCTACCAGCGGCGCCTCTTCGACCTCTACAAGCTGGACTTCCTGCTGTTCAACTACTCGGCGCCCGCGGCCCTGCGGCTGCGCTAGGAGGCCTGGGACCAGGCCGCCCAGGGGCTCTCCCACAAGCCCCCCCAGGCCAGAGCTGCCCCCACGGCCCCTCTCAGAGCCGCTCAGGCCCCTGGCCTGGTCGCCAGCCTACTGCAGGCCGCCGCTGGCCGGGTTTGACCGTGCACCTGTGCCCGGGTCCTCCCGACACTCCAGCTGGCAGGTGTGCTCAGTGCCCTGGTGGGGACAGACCCCCGGCCAGTTTTCCAGGCTATGAGAAGCCATTGTGGGGTCACCTCTGCCCCCCACCTGGTGCCACGGAGCTGAATGCTGACACCTGGCTTGGGAGCCCCTTCAGCCCTCAGCTGCCCCTGGGAGGACCTGGGGCAGGGCCCACCTTGCAGTGGGCACTGCCCAGGAGGGCACCAGCTCTCGCCCTCTCTGGCAGCTCCATCAGGGCCGCATCTCGCCGGCTGCCCTGCCTGCCCCACCTCAGTCCAGGGGGATCAGGGTCCTGTGTGCTGGCCCCCCGTGCACTGCACCCTAGGAAGGTTTGGGGCCTTGGGGAGCCACCCAGGCGCGTTTTAAATAAATGTTACCTTCCAGTTTGGGAAGTTTATCTACTTGTTCCCGTTTCTCTGGGGGCGGGGCTGCCCGGTGGCCTCTGGTGGTCCCAGTGCTTCCTCCCCAGCTGGTAATGAAGGTCGGGCGAGGGCGAGCACAGCACCTGTGCCCGCAGCAGCCGCAGGTGTGGGACAGTGGGCGGGGCACCAGGTGGCGGGCCACAGTGATGGACCCGCTCTGACCTGGGTCAGGGTGTCCGCCAGCCCGCCCTGTGTGCATGAGTACTGCCCCGCCTCCTGTCTCTGGGAGCCCGGAGGCCCCTGTGGTGACTGGGCAGATGTGGGGGCCTTCTCAGTCCTTGGGTGAGAGGCACAGGACTCGGGAGCGGGAGCAGGGCGCGGGAGCTGCTCACGGGTGGGAGCGGGCTCCAGACTTGAACAGGAGCTCTCCTGTAGGGCTGCCGCGCGGCCCCACACCCCCCCATGACATACACAAGGTGGCTACGTGCCAGACTCACGGAGTGTGGGAGGCTTGTGATGCACCTGTTGCACGTTTCAGGCTACTGTGTAAAGAGCGGCTTCCGAGTGGCCGCCGCACATTTCGGGGTGTCACTGTGGTATGGCGTAACAGTCCCCAC